TTAATTCCATATCATAAAGGCGGCCTTAAAGCAGTGCACATGGGTATACAAGAATTTAGTAATGATCTTGCAAATAAAGCAACTAATATTTTTTCAACAGTTAGAACTTCCTTGATGTTTACAAAAGGATTATCCATGTTACAATCATCATCGTCGTTGTCGTCATCATCATCAGTAACGTTAAATAATAGTGGTGCCATCAGCACCAGTAGTAGTAATATTAATAGTGGTGCTCATAAAAAGTCATCTTCTATTGGAAGCATTCCTGGAAACGACAATGACGGCAATAATAATAATAATGGTAGTGGCGATGATGTTATATCTGGTGCTAATGAAGGAAACGCTTTAACCAATTATCCACCAACAAATTTTACAAAAGATGCAAAAAACACAACGGATGATAAAGAGATTGAAAAAAACGGAGCTGCTAGAATTAAAAGTTTAAATGTTTCCGGTAGAGTGGATTATGTTTTACAGGTAAATCGTAATTGAAATTGACGCGTATTTCAGATGGGAAAATAATAATTAATATATTATTTTATTTATTTTATTTTATGTAATTAGGAAGGACTATTAGATGTTAGTTACATTAATGCTATAACTGTGCATTTGAGCTATTGGTCAGATTTAGATGCTGTTAATTTTATTTTAAAAGAAATTGATAGAGAAGAGGAATGAAAGGATTGATCATAAGTTTATTTATTTAATTCATCCATATTTATACATTTATTTGCTGTTACATATCACTATTTTTTTTATTTTGAGAAATAAAGTAATAAATTTATTCGTAATTTCAATTGAACTTTCTAATGATTAATTTTTACACTGTTACACCAGAACTTTGAAAATATTATTATTCTTGTGAGACCCTAAGATAATTTTTGATTAGATTTTTTTATTTTTAAAGAACAAAAATGTCTACAAAAGACGAGGTATCAGTTGTGAAACCTGTTGAAGAAATTCCACAAAATCCAAAACCTGACAAGAAGAAAACTAAAGCTAAGAAAAAAGAAGAGGCTACCACTGATTTTCCTTTAGAAGTGAGTTGAATCTTGTGAAATCTTTATATATATATATATTGTACCAAACTTCAAAATCCTTTTTTGTAAAGATTGATCCACCACCAGAATACCTTCAACATAGAATTAAATTATTTGAAGAATGGAAAAAAGAATATGATGAAGAAATTAAAAGTAATCTTTTTATATTAAATTATGAAAACTATATATCGTTGATAAAGAAAGATAAAATTATATTTTCATTTAGAAAAACCACGTGTACCAATTACCATTACCTTTCCTGATGGAAAAACCACTCAAGCAACTGCCTGGGAAACTTCGCCTATGGATATAGCTAAAGGAATATCCAAATCTTTGTCTGAACGCATTGTAATTTCCAAGGTCAGATTCAATCGGTCGTTTTCTTGTGAAATATTGTTTTTCTCCTAATGTCGCTACTAAAATTTTTGGATGGACTTTTTTTTTGTATATAGGTTGATGAAGTGCTATTTGATCTTTTGAGACCACTTGAAAATGATTGCAAATTGGAGTTTTTAGATTTTGACCACGATGAAGGTAAATCTTGTTCTATTTAATTAGAAAAAGGATATTGTAATTATTTAGAAAAATTCATATTGATTTGTTTCACAGGAAAAATGGTATTTTGGCATTCCAGTGCACATGTTCTTGGAGAAGCTTGTGAAAGACATTACGGATGTCATCTTTGTATAGGACCACCATTAGATGATGGCTTTTATTATGAAATGGCTATTGACAAAAGGTGATTTTTGAATTTCTACCAGTATGATATTAAATGCTGATAGTTATTAAGAACCATTCTTTTTGCATTAGAGTTGTACATCAAGGTGATTATAAACCACTTGAAAAAATTGCTAATAATATCATCAAGGAGAAACAACCTTTTGAACGTCTAGTTATATCAAAGGAAAATTTATTAGAAATGTTCAAAGTATTAAGGATTAGGATTAATCTACTATTATTTATAAATAAAATAATGATTACAGGTTATTAATTTATGGTTAATTTTTAGCATAATCAATACAAAGTGCACTTGATCAAATCTAAAATTCCGGACGGAACATCCACCACAGTATATCGATGTGGTCCATTAATAGATTTGTGTCTTGGTCCTCATATACCTCATACTGGCAAAATTAAAAGTTTTGGTGTCACAAAGGTACAAAAATTATCACCATTTATATTCACAATTGAATTTTGTGTTTATTTTTATTTTTCAAAAAATAAATGATTTTAGAATTCAGCCTCATATTTTCTTGGTGATGCAAGTAATGATTCTCTTCAACGTATATATGGAATCTCTTTTCCAGATAAGAAACAAATGGACGAATACAAAAAATTCCTTGAAGAAGCTGATAAGCGTTATCATAAAAAAATTGGGCAGGTATATATATATATATATATATATATATAGTATATATTTTAGAAATATAAACAACTGATTGAGATATAGAATATAACATTTTGAATGTGATTTATATAGGAGCAAGAGCTTTTCTTCTTTGATGATTTGAGTCCTGGAAGTTGTTTCTTTCTTCCACATGGCACTAGAATTTACAACACGCTTATTGATTTCATTAAGGTTGCATTTTCTGTTAGTTGTAATGTGTCATTACTGAACTAGAATCATTTTAAATAGTAAGTTTTTAAAAATTTACAGTCGGAATATCAAAAACGTGGTTATCAAGAAGTAATTACTCCAAATTTGTATAATACAAAATTATGGGAACAATCAGGACATTTGCAGAATTATGAAGTAAGTTGATATTTTTGTTGATAGTCAAAGCCATTGAGATTATGATTTATTTACAAATTAAAATCTTTTAATAAGGAAAATATGTTTTGTTTCGACATCGAAAAAGAAAAATTCGCATTAAAACCAATGAATTGTCCAGGTCATTGTCTGTTATTTAAGCATCGTGATAGGTCATATCGTGAATTACCAATGCGTCTAGCGGATTTTGGAGTGTTACATCGTAATGAATTGAGTGGTGCATTATCAGGATTGACACGTGTCAGAAGGTTTCAACAAGATGATGCACATATTTTTTGTAGAGAGGATCAGGTTAGCATATAAACATAAAAGTTTTGTAATCTTATCATGTCAGTTTAATTTATTTGGATATTATTTGTATGAACATAGATAGAAGAAGAAATAAATTCTGCTTTAGAATTTTTGAAACATGTGTATGGAATTTTTGGTTTTACTTTCCAATTGAGATTATCCACTCGTCCCGAAAAATATTTGGGTAAAGTTGAAACATGGGAATTTGCTGAAAAGGTAATGAATTTTAGTTTATTGATTTATTTGATCATATTATGTATGTATGGCTTATTATATAATTAAATAACCTATGATGGCTCTTTTCCATCTTGAATATAGAAATTAGAAACAGCGCTTAATAAGTTTGGAGATCCTTGGGGAATTAACCCTGGCGATGGTGCTTTTTATGGCCCAAAAGTATGAAAATTAATATTGTACGATTATATTATACACGTTACAGAGTTATTTATTATTGCTTGCCATTAATGGATATTATAGATTGATATTACAGTTTCAGATGCTTTAAAAAGGAAACATCAATGTGCTACATTACAACTTGATTTCCAACTTCCAGAACGTTTTAATCTTGAATATCGTACACAAACTGTGGATGATGCAGAACACAGTTATGCTCGTCCAGTAATGATTCATCGTGCTATATTAGGATCAGTAGAACGTATGATTGCCATTTTGACAGAAAGTTTTGGTGGAAAATGGTTAGTGTCTTGATGAATTGATTTTACAAAATACATTTATTACTCTTGCTTGATTTTCTATTTTCTAAATTATTATTATTCGTTTTTTTTTTTTTTAAAAAGGCCTTTTTGGCTATCACCACGTCAAGTCATGGTGATACCAGTTGCAAACAGTTTTAGTGACTATGTAAAGAAAGTTGCAGGTGCATGCTTTGATGCCGGTTTGTATGTTGAGACTGATTTGGGAGAAAACACATTAAATAAAAAGATACGAAACGCAGAAATAGCACAATTTAATTTTATTTTTGGTTTGTTTATTCTTTTTAAATCCTTTATCATCATTTGCTCAAAAGTGAGATTTTAATATATGTTTACTTTTTAAATAGTTGTTGGTACTCAAGAAGAATCCACAAATAGTGTCAATATTCGTAATCGAGATGATGCGGGTACTAAGGCTAAAGGTGAAACAATTCTTTTAGAAGAAGCCATTGAGAAAATGGTAAAATTAAAAATGGAAAGAAGGTTGAAAAATAGTCTTATATGAAAACAACCTGAAAATTAATAAATAAAAAGTTGTGCTTCTTTAATAAATTAGATAACTAAAAGTTTTGAGATGATTATATATGAATAATATAATCTAGAACTTCTTAATGACAAAGACCTAATATAATAATAATAATCATGTTTCCGTGTTCTACATATGGGGCGTGGACAATATATTTTATTTGTTTATTCGTTTTGTTCGAATTGTTCGTTTATTTGCTTTGTTATTCGTTTTATTTGAATTATCGAATTATCGAATTATCGAATTATCGAATTATTCGTTATTCATTTTATTGAATAAACTTTCAATATAATTCGAATATTTAAATCATAACGAGAGAAACAAATAATTCGAATATATAGAGACCCTAATCAAATTTTAATTCAGTTTGAACATTATTGGCTGTGCTAGGTAAAATTAAAATATTTACCGGAAAAATGAAGATTCAGCCGGAAAAACCGGCAAATAGAGCGAGTTTTGTGCGCTGGATGGCAGTAAATAGCGATAAGTTTTTTTATTTCAGGCTATATAGGCATTTTCATTAGTATGCTCTCGATCACATAGTGGACAATATGATTCTGATATATGTTTTAGAGTGAAAATAATTTGATATATAGGTGATGGATATAAAACATCAAAACATTCAATATTTACAAGTTTAAGTAATCTTTCTATATATTCTATTTCAGATTCAATAGTTCCATTATTTTTTCTTCTGGAATATTTAAAATAGGACTATCAACAATAGGTGTATCGACATTAGGCGGACGAAGCATAAAATCAAAGACATCTCTATCTTTTGGAAACATTGCTTTCTTTATCCATACATATTCTCGGTGAATTTATGTGCTCCTAAAATTCGTAATGAGAATGAACTTTTATTTGCAAAATTATCGACAATATCTTTTTGTCGCGTGGCATTGGAAGTTTTTTACAAACAAGCTCAATAAATGATGCAGCTTTGATAATATTTTTAAGTCGCATTCCAAAATGTTGAGACATTTTTTTCGAAATCGGTACTACTGGCAACAGTCATGGTGGTTTATCCCACTCTGGATATATCCCTAGACAGGTTTTTGAAAAGACATTATAAATTGAATTTCGTACATCTTTAGGTGTGAGATTTTATCAAATGTTTCTCGAGACAAATCAAAATCAATGAAAGGACGAAGTGAGTATCTTTACCTAAAAATTCTCTTTACACCATCATCACGAATTTATATAAATATTTAGCTATATATATTTTCGGCACGGTGACCACAGTGGTAGAACGTATATTTTGTAATCAAGTAAGTGCCAATCAATAAAAGGAATTCCGCATTAATATTAATAAATATAGTATATGTTACTGATTCTTTTATTTCGAAAAAATGGATTGTAAAAAATAATAAATAAATTGAATTTTATAGATATAAAAAAATAGTTGTACAAAAAAAAACATGATGTTTATTATAATATTATAAGGATGTAATTAAAAAAAATTAATTATAAGAAAAAAACAAGCACCATTCAAATTACATAGTTAATTTTATAATTAGCAAAATCATTAAATCATTAAAAATAATAATAAGCAATGAATAAAAAAATTTAATAAATTTTTTAAACCATATCGACGACCCTAGATTCAGTGATAATATCATCTTCATCATTGGTGTCGACGGTTTTAGAAGTTTTCTTTGATTGCACTACCAAAATACTTGAAGAAACTCCACCAAACAAAAATGATTCGGCAACGTCTCCCAAAGATTTACGTGTCTCGTCACCATAACTACCTCCAATATTCTTAATCACCTCCAAAAATTCAGCTCTATGATTGAGTGCGCCACTACTATATCTACCACGTCCTATGACTACCAAATCTTTACGTTCCACTATTTTCTTGGCTTTCTCAACCGCAGTTTGTAATGGTGTTGCCGACAACACATCAGTATATCTGATACGACTATTTTTTTGTTTTTTGTATTTTTCAATTAGTTCATCATCCAATTTTTTTGATTCATGTCCTTCACCACCACTAAGAACCGTTGATGCAATTGAAACCTAAAAATATTATGGTAAAAATTTAATTTTATTTGATTGATTTTGATATTGATTAATTAATTAAAAAAATTACGAAAAAATCATTTACCTTGTGTGTAAGAGGTGGTTTAGCAGAACCTTCAGGTTCTTCTTCGCCTTCATGAAGTGCCAAATTAGTTTCCAAAACTGCATCATTATCTGTTGGTTCATTTGATTTTATGATTATCATAACTTCAACTTCAACATTAGGATTTTTAACTAACTTCACAACAAATTTTAACGCCTCTCTATCATCTTTACCGCCAAAAAACGGTAAGAAAATTTTGACAAACCCGCCTGAAGTTGAAGCGGGCAAATCTTTAGAAGTTTTTTGTCTTGAAAAACCAAGTCCCCTGTCAACGAAAACAAAAACATTAGCCTGCTCCGACAATAGATTGAAAACCCCTTGAATATAATTTGATACTTGAGGACTAGTTGATTTATTTTTATGTGATCCAATCATCTCTTCAAACATATTCGATGGATCCTCAATAACAGCACCTGCACCACCCCATGGCACAATAACCGAATCAGCATTGTTTTCACTGGTACTATCTGCTATTTGTTGAGCAAAATCTTGTCTCGATACTATGGCAAGATTAGGTTTAACATTGACAAAATTTAATTTGCCAAAAGTTCTAAATACATTCATAATTGGATCGTGCAAAATAGTTTCTTCACTTTCACTGAATTTAATAACTGTTGATATACGTTGTGTCAATTCCACAAGCCTTAGCACGTGAACGGTCAAACTATCACTACTATTTCCATCTGATGAGCTCGATGCTGAATTTTTTCTATTCTTATCAACAGCAACAGTAGTTGCTTTATCAGTAACGGAATCGGAATTTTTTGCTGAAGTGGTTACAGTGGTAGTTGTTGTTGCGGTAGATTCTCTTGTCGAGGAAGTGGGTTGAGGATCAGTAGTTGATATTGTTGATAATGCAGGATAAAGCGATGAAGAAGTTTGTAACAGTTGAATGAGTGTCATCATAGCTGGAAGAAATTCAACTTTATCTAAAACCACCAATAAATTTTTATCCTTTTTTGCCTTTGATGATGAATAAACTGAGTGACCAGTCGCTTCTTTTTCGTCAATATCATCCAATTTATTAGTTTCAGGTTTGTATTCGAATTTTCGTTGATATTTATGTGGATATAACCATAGTGCTAACGGTGTTGTAGCAAATGTTGTTATAAGTGCCCTATTAAAAAAAAAAAAAAAAAATTCGTTTAAAAAATAAATAAAATAGATTTGGTTTAATGAATGATGATAATTACATTATAACCATGATAACAAAAACTTTGGCATCAATAACTCCAGCATCAAAACCAATATTAAGAACAATCAATTCAACAAGACTGTATAAGATAAAAAATAAATGTATATATATATATATATATATATGTATATTAGTGAGGAAAAAAAACTCTTTAAATATAAATAAATAAATAAATAAATAAATACCCTTTGCAACTCATAAAAACACCAACGGTCAAAGACTCTCTCCATGTTAATTTATTTAATTTAGCTGCGAGTGTACAGCCAGAAATTTTACAAAACACTGCAACCACCGTAACTAAAATCACCCATCCAAAAGCATTAGGGTCACTCAAAAGTCCAATTTGTGTTTTCAATCCCGATAATGCAAAATACTAATATAAATGTTTAAAAAAAAACATTGTTAATAAAATATATATAATAGATGCATTTAAGAAATAAAAATTAATAAAATGGTGATGATAATAATAACTTACAATTGGTAAAAATAAAACATTAACTAAATCTTCAATTTTTTCAGTAATACCAACAGCAAAACCACCCTCGTGCGGCATAATAACACCAATTACAAAACCACCAAAAATGGCATGAATACCAATTATGTTTGTAACAAAAGCAGAAGTAAGCACCGTTAACAATGTTATGGCGGTCATTGTCAATGTTGGACCATTATCATTACTTCCAGTCTTGTGAATAAAAAATAATAATATAGGACGAACGGCAAACACTACTATAAGAACCCAAGCAATAGCAAGTAACAAGATGTACAATGCGGTAAGCATATTTGATGAATTGATGATTGTAACAACCAAAGCCAATAATATCCATGCAGCTACGTCATCTACAACGCCGGCTGAAAATGCCGTTAATCCTGCTACTGTTTTTAATAAATTTAATTCTGTTAAAATACGTGCAAGTACTGGAAAGGCCTATTATATAATATAGATTAGTGTGTAAAAAAAAAGGTTAGCTTGATCAAATTTAAAACAAAAAATAATTTCAAAAACCTTTTTTTACCGTAATTGACATTGCGACACCAATAAAAAGTAGATAACTACTAAAAGGAACAGACTGATCACTAAGTTGAGTATACAATCCATAACCTACACCGACACCAAAAGTAAAAGGTAAAATGATTCCAGCTAACGAAATCGTAGTAGAAGCTCTACCATTTTTTATCAATATTTTTGGATTCAATTCCACACCAACAATGAACAAGAACAAGACCAAACCAATGTTTGCAAGTAGATTGAGCAAAGGAATGGATTCGGTAGGAAAGATGGCTTGTTGAAATCCAGGAATACGGCCCATAACCGATGGACCGAGTAAAATTCCACCAACTACTTCGGCAATAACACGTGGTTGTCGTAGAGGTGATATCGCAAAATGGACAATACGTGTAAAGAAGATGATGAGAACTGCCTTTTTTCACATTAGATGATTGGTGATGATGATTAGACCAAGGTTTTTAAAATGCCAACAAATAAAGAGAGAGTGAGCGAGAGAGTGAGATATGGGGTAATATTTATGAATTAGTATTCTAGGTGTTTCACGTATTTTGTATTCATAATATATTGTATTTATGATATTTGTAAATATTTGAAATTTGAAATTTTGACATTTATAAAATGGTTACTATGTGAACACTTGAAAAAATTTAAAAAAATTTTTTATAATGAAATAGATACTTACTTGTATTATGAATAAAGTAATCGGTTCGCCAGCATTATAAGAAGCCGGATTGTGACCGGAAAGGACGCCACCTTGTTCTTTGGCCATTCTTTATTATTAATTGCTAGGTTTGTAATAACTAGGACTATGAAACTATTTATTTAGATCCGGGTTGAAAAAAAAAAAGAGAAGGCAATATGTTTATATAAAGAAATATTTTATTAACAATTATTATTATTCTTTTTTACACAAAAATTCGCAATTTTACATCAGATCGCATAAATTTTATGGGGTTGTATTTTTTTTAGAATTTAGAAAGCAATTATTAATAGAAAGGAGAAAATAATAATTAATTGCATTGCATTATCAGGTTTCATATTAGAACGAATTTGACAATGTCGAACTTTTTATTTATTGTGTGAATGACCCGTGTGAAAAAAATTTTAGGAGATCAAAACAAACAAACATGATAATGACAAGATTTTTTTTTTTTAAATGTGCAGATTGCCAAATAGTATAAAAAGGTTTAATATTGTCCTGTTAAAATAATGTGCTACCGTTTTCTCCCAAATATTCTAATTAGAAGAGTTTTTGCTTTTGAGTGGCGGTTATGAAATCATTCGAAATTAAGGAATTTTATTGGTTAAAAGCATTTTAAGTTTAGTGTTTGTCGTTACACGCAATCTAGATTTATCGCCCGGGAATGACAGGGTAACTCGAATGAATCAGGAAAAAAATAGGCTAGGGGCGACTGATTATCGTTGTCAGAAATTCATGGAACCTTTTCCCTATCATGATAAGCTCAACTTAATTCAATCAAGTATATCAACGAGTAGATGCAAACACACACAAATTTTGTACTAAATTTTAATAATTAAATTTCTTTCCCAACAATCAAATTTTGAATTGAACAAGAAAACTAACCTGCAAGCACATAAATTCCTTCGTGTAACAATCTACAATTTTAGATGCGCACATTTTGTTTGATCAAAATTACAGAATTATTAATTCCATTTCATGTGAAAAATTGCTGATTTTTATTATTATCATGTATCATATAGTAATTAAATTAACGGATATCTCTATTGATAATAACGGATATCTCTATAAAAGATATCTATAACGGACTGAGAATTTATATGTCACAAAAAAAACATAGTATTTTGCAACTATATACAAAAACTTACATTTTCTTATTTTTTTATTATTGTTACACAAATTTAATTTTTGCCACGTTTATTGGCTGATTTTTGTGCAATCAAAACCGCCACTGATGGAATGACGTTTTTCTTGTGAAATCAATGAAATCAAAACAAATTTGGACCACACTACACATTACTCCATTCGAATCGTAAAAGAAAGACACTTCCTTAGAGATAAACTTTAAGGTTCTATATAACACTTTTTTTATCTTTTATTTTCAAAACATCAGTGTATCCATAATGATAATCTAATAACACAAGAAAGAATTATCATTTACCTTCCCAAAACAGAACGTTCTATTTGAAAAATCTGCTTTCAGAATTTGTTTTTGTTTTAATATTAATCCTTTTTTGTGTTATACGCCCGAATGAAATAACTTCCTTGGGTATTACACGTGCAATATAAACATCAACTGAATAAAGTTGGTGGGATAATGAATTATGCAGTTTTTGTTTGTCACTTTCAAAATTTTTGGGTAAACTATAACTAAGTTATACTTTATTTTCTGGAAGATTCATTTCCCTGGTTTCTTTAAACCCATATCATAAAAAAATCTTTGTAAAGAAGTAAAAGAGAGTGAGCAAAGGTGAAAGAAAGTGAAGGAGGTGAGATGATGATATTTTCCAATTGATTAAAGAGGATGAGGTATCCTTCCTTGTGGAATAAAATATACGTGTAACCACCATGTTATCGTATATCTTAACCAGTTGGCTGGAAGCCGTTTCCTTTTTATTTATACGCGTTTTCAAATTTTTGCCTTTTCTTTCCTTTGTGTCTTGTTTTTTAAATATTATTTATTTGTGGTTCCACTATATATTTTTCATTTATTAAAAAAGAAAGCCAATAAAAGGAGTGTTGGCTTGTTTATTAACCAAAAAGCTAATTATAATAACTAGTATTTGTTAATTAGTATTAAAGATTTTGAATTTGGAATAAATAACAAACGTTTTTTTTATAAATAAATAATAAACCCAGAAAATTATTTTTGGTTCCGAAAAAAAAAAAAAAAAAAAAATAATAAAAAATCGTAATAATAAAAATCTACCCATATTTTTTATATACCAACAACAATCTTGTAATAATAATTAACTGTTATTATTATGGATAAATTTCGTGTCAAAGTTTCGGCGGCATGCTCCCTTTGTCAGAAAAGGAAAGTGAAGTGCAGCGGAATATTTCCTTGTACAAACTGTTTAAAATACGGCCAAGATTGCGAATTTGAAATGTCAAGATCTCGTAGAGGACGTAAAAATAAAAGATTGGAAGTTGTTAACTCATTCGAAAATCGTATTTTAAAGATGAAGATGGTTAAAGCTACCGCCAATTCAACAATTCTTCCCGAACCATTTCTTGAAAATGATAACAATGATAGTGGTAATGATAATAATAGTGGTAATGATAATGGGAATAATAATGGTAATGATAATGGGAATAATAATGGGAATAATAATAATAATATCAACAACAACAACAACAACAACAACAACAACCACGATAATGATAATCATGAATCAATCATTGATTCTTTGAATCAAAATAATAACGATTATTATGATTATTATGATGTCAGTAATAGTAATAACGATAACAGTCTAAATTTAGCAAATTTCAACAGCATATTATGTAATCAACAATGGCATCAATTTCAAACAGAATTTGTTGCCGGGCATAATATTATACTCAACGATGACAATCAGCTTCATCATCAACCTGCTGACAATGATGACAATAATAATAATTTGATGCTTAGTGAGGATCCAAATTTAGTGCTGAATGATTGTTATCCTTTATTTATTTTCGATACAAATTATGTTATTTTTTAAATAATCAATGTGTAACTTTTTATTTGTTAAAATATGGTAAATAATTTCGTGTCACGTCATATGATAAGTTTTTTATTTATTTATTTATTTATTTGCCAACTTGATATTTTAATTTTTGACTAGTTAATTATGGGGTACCAATAAACTTTTCAACTTTTTCAAGCCAATTAACATATTCTCGTTGATCTTTATATTCCACGTAACTTTGTATAAATAATGCGACTGCTGTGTCAATGCCACGCTCTTCTATATATTTTTCAAAAAGGGCTTGTAACTCCTGAATAAATAAATGGGATTAGAAAATAATAAATAATCACTCATCCTCCCAACAACCTTTGAAAAAAAAAATAATGTTATTAAAAATGGTCAATCGTCAGTCAGTCTTACATTATCTAAAGTTTCAAATTGTGGGCCAGGATAATGTCCTCTTCTCTTCCAATCCGCCTCTGCAGACCAATCATAAGATAATTTGGCATCTTTGTAATATGTCACATAATTTATAATAAAGATACCATCTGATACTGATGTCTCAAATCCTAATGCTCCATGATTATCCTATAAAATTATAATGTTATCGGTAATGGTATATTGAAATTGGTATGTTGTCATCGTAGATCTTTTAATTAGGAAATTATTACCTTTTCAATAATAATATTACATCTGGTAACCATTGAACCATCGGAAGCATTTTCATCATCATCATCCAAGTCATCGTCTGTATTTTCAGACTTTTTTCGCGAAAATTAAATTTTAATTCATTGATTAATTAATTATCCAACAAAATAAATAACTTGATGGGTATAATATATTTACTTCAACGCCACTTTCTTCTTCGTCTTCAGGAAAATCAAATTGGTCGGATTGATTTTCATTAAATGAAACATCAAACAATAAACGGATCCTGTTGTTGTTATTATCATCATCATCATCATCATCATCATAATAGGGGGTTGGATATGTTGAATATTAATACCATTAGAAAATAATTCTTTTTTTAATAATATTAACTATAATAATAAAATAATTTACTTTTCATTTCCAAATGTTCTAGTAAGTTTAACTTCATTACTTCCTCGTTTGTCTTCAATCTATTTGATAATTATACTATTATATATATAAATCCTAAGCATCATACTATCCTACTGACTTTAATTTATCTATTTATTTAAATACCTTGAACGGATTATTATCTAGAAATTCTTTTATAAATTCAGGTTGTTTTTCTAACGATTCACTCTCTTTCTCGTATTTAATCTCTTCCTTTAATCTGGTCGCCAAATTTTTATCTTGATTTTTTCAAAACCAACCATGAAATCAATCAATCAATCAATCAATCAATCAATCAATTAGTTTCTCAATATACATATATATGTGTGTGTGTATATATAAATAGATTCATTTATTTATCTATTTACCTGCTGTATTAGATAAATTTTGTACAGTGGTAGAAAATTGTTTGATGCTAAATGGTGACGACTTGAAATTATTTATATTTAGAGAAGAAATTTTACTAAATGTAGTAAAATTATTTTTATTATTATTAAATAATTTTGGTTTTAATGATGAATTCGTTAAAAATAATGTTGTTTTATTGTTAATATTGCATTTGGCGCTATTAGCTGTAGTTATCGTTGCTGATAATGATGATAAGTTTGGTTTTAATTTCCTTAAAAAATTTGCTCTCAAATAGTTGGACATTTTGGGATTCTTGTTTTTTTTTTAAAGAAAATGTTGGATCTTTTTTTTTTTGATCAAAAAAAAAATACACTTATAAATGATAATCTTTTTTTGTGGATCGTGAATTAATAATAATAACATGTTAGGAAACATTCGGAAAATTTACACAAATTTATTATTATTAAAAGAATTGCCCTAGTTAAGATTTTTTCAATACTAATTTATACAATTCTACTTCTTCTAGCAAATGTACTGTACTATTTTTAAGATCAAGATTAATATTATTTTTATAATGACAAAAGTTATAATAACAATAAGATTCGTTATTAATACTGTTTCGTAATTTTAAATCACTAAAGTTTACGGTGTTCTCATAAAATTGTATACCATCTGTAGCAACATTAAGATTTCTTTTACTGTGATATATTGCTTTTACAGGATCTTTGATCTTGCTTAATTTTGAATTATTTATTTGATTTCCATCAATTTTAAAAATGAAGCTTTTATCTGCTTGAATCCAATATCCTTCATTTAGAGACTTTCCTTTTAGGTTCCAACAAACAGGATTATAGCCACCTACTAATTCGCCAGTTTCTTTAATTTTCATGATGGATATAGTATGTTCAATATTGTAACATTTGTCCTCAAAAACAGTTCTAGAAAATCCATCACAAGTTCCACTTAAAATCAATTTAAATTTATATGGTATATTATCCATATTGTACACATCATTGTCATATTTGTTACCAACCCAATTAGAAACTAACAGTTTTATCTGCGAATTTAATAATTTTCCTACTCTTGGGCTTTTTGGAGTTAATAATCTTGGTTGCCATATATCAGCGAGGTAGTATTGAAGTAATTCTTCATATATTTCTTTATCGATTATTTCTTTATAAGGTTTGATTTTACAATAAAAATCATTCGAGGAAATCACATTGAATCTTATTAATGGAATAATTTTTTTTAATATATCTTTTAATTCAATGAAATTATCATTGTTCCATTCAGAAATATCTTTTTTCAATTCGTCATTTTGTCCAATCCCCCATTGAATGGCATAATCCCAGATATCTATTTCCTTCATTTCTAAATCATCTTTTGCCAATATGGATATAAGCATTGATTCTTCTATATCTTTGAACTCCACATTAGATTTCAAGAATAATTCTGGGTTCTCATAAAATATATCATTACAGTATTCTTGAAGTAAACTGAATGATTGATGTTTGGATGAAATTTTATGAATGTAAGCTAAATTTTGTTGAATCCATTCTTTTTCTTTGATGATCAAGTGATTTTGTAGATGGTCAATTAATTCATCAACATCTAATTCATCACACACACAAAGAAGTTCAAGAATTTCATCTGGATTCAGATTTTTTATATCAATAATTCCATTGTAAATATATCTTTTAAAAAAAAATTATTTATTTGTAAATTTATAAAAATATATATGTGTGTGTGTGTGTGTAGAATGAATCAACAAACTAAATTATAATGGGTCAAATTAAATTATTCTTCTTACATTAAAAGAACTTCAAATATTTTTGAAGAAATATTTCCTTTTTCAAATAAAATAATGCCACCATCATCATATCTTTTTATCCAATTATCTGATAATGCTGTTTTAAAATATGATGATCTTGCTTTCAAAATAGTTGAATGAGCTTTAAATGTTCTAACATCCTCTTCATCCACCCCTACTTTAATCTCTACATCATAATAATCCGTTCCATTCAATAATTTTGTTAAATCATTTACAAGTTGACCAATATATTTTAATGGCAAGTTATCTTCATTAGAATCAATAAATCTATTAAATAATGTATTGAAACTTTCTAAAGACAAAAGGCTATTATTATTATTATTATTATTATTATTATTATTAGACATTGAGGAGTAATTTTTTTTTTAAAAAAAAAAAAAGAATACCTTTTATGGTATCACGGGGGAGGGAGTCATGCATTATGTAATTATGTTTTGTACTGACTGCATAATCAATCATACAATTTTAAGACTACCGTTCGTTTTAAAAAAAAATTTTTGCGCAATAAATTATGTTCACACACACACTCATATATCACACATATATCCCATTTGATCAAACCATTCGCGCAATGTCTAACCTGATTCGTACTTTTTTTACCACGCCTAATTGGGAACCTTTCGTCTCCTGGTGCTCGTAGAATCTCAACTCGTACCTATACCAAATTATCTAGAACAAAACGTAACTTAGAATTTTTAACAGAATATGAAAAGAGTCTGCAAACAAGTTGGGGGAATCCCTCACAGTACAAGGAAAAAAGTCGAAGGAATCCCTCACGGTAGTATTTCCCTTTATAAACCTGAACAAATTCGATAAAATAACTAACAGGTTTGTTATTTGTGAAGAGGGTTATCGAGTATAAGTTCTTGGTAGAATCTGAAAAACAAGGCAAGAGGTCGAAGGAATCTCTCACGGCACAAGGAAAGAAGTTGGAGTAGTTTCTCACAAAAAAAGTTGGAGGAATCTATCATAGTACAAGGAAAGAAATCTCTCACGGTAGTATTTCCCTTTATAAACCTGGACAGTTTTGATAAAATGACCAACAGATTTTGCAATTTATAAGAGAGTTATTGAATACCGAGTTATGGTGGCTGAACATAAGTTCATATACATTATTGTCGAAGCTATGGTTATAAAATCGTGGGTTGAAAAGAATGGTGAAAAACGTGACACGGAAAAGAATGATGAAAAAGGAAACTTCTATTTTAAATATCTAGATAGTTAACATCACAAATTTTGTAAAATTTAATTTTTCTGACTTATATATTCATCTCTGCTAAAAATATATATTGATAAAGTTTTTGTTCATATCGTTTGATTTTTAACATGTGTATGTGTGTGTGTGCAATGTGACAATAAGAGTATTATAATTTTATAATACATTCGCATGCACAGATTCTTTAATTTTGTTTTAGCCGACCCTATAGAAAATAAATGTGATATAACATATTGTTTTACAAGATCTTTTTACCTTACTAAAATTTGAATTATTATTGATTTTCATCAATTTGATTAATTAACAAATCTTGGGCTCTGTCAGTTTCTTCTTGATTGGAATCTCTTTTTAGCAAATTTCATCAATTGCTCTTTTTAATTCATAGAGTAGATGGCCAGCAGGGCTTAATCAGATAGTTGAACCAGAAGTAGATTAATTAATTATTATTATTGGTTGACTTTATCTATATATTATCAGGCACATAGCAAAATAACAAGTAATTTGGGAACTTGAACTTTTACAATTTAAACATCAGAAATTTCTAATAACATATATATCTTCTATATAGACAACATTTGTATTAAAAAATAAGCCAATGATGGTTTGTTTTAGATTTAATGGTCCATTCTATTCTTAATGTAAACAAATCAAATTGATTCCATTTGATATACTAGAGATGCACTTTTAAGTTACCTAGACTCATACAGCAGTACCTTGAAGAGCAAAGAGTCTATACAGGTTCCGTATTCCGTACATCTGCGCATCTGTAGTAAATCATGCTTTGTATGGAACAAAATATGGAATCGAAGATCGTACAGACTGGCCCCCACCAATCAACTTTTTCAGAATTCACAAATTCCGTACAAAAATTAAAAAATAAAAGTGTACTAGTACGGAACAAAAATAAATAGTGTACGGAATTGAAAAGTTGTACGGAATTTCTACTGACTGAAGAGCAAAGGCCAAGTTTTGAGGAAAATTTGAAAATGATTGAGGGTATGTGCAAGAGCAAGGATGTCCAAGCCAAACATGTATCTAGCATTTCATTAGTAGATGACCGACTAGAGACATCAGGACATTGAAGAACCTGAAACCTATATATCATATTGTCTGGTATATCCAAATGCTATTTTACCAAATAAATTAACTAGAATTAATACTGATGTTGTTATAGCAGCAATTATAGATGAAAATTTATTTTTAAAAAAATTTAAAACGTAGCAATCATTTATACATACCAAACCCAATCTTTTAATAACCTCTTCCAATGTCATCATAAATATTTTCCTTGCTTATCTCTGGTGCTCGAAACCCAGTTGTGCCAACAATGCTACAAATTTTCTGTTGTAGTCTCACTTCTTAGCATGACCAAAGCCAATTATAAAAATTTGTTTTGTCTGAGGATCAAAAACAGTATTATCTGCTTTAAGGTCAAGATGATCAATATTAAGATCATGCATAAAACTTACAGCCTAAAACGGTGGTTAACAAGAACCAAAGATGATAAAAAATCAGAATTCGCATAAAAATCTGTTTACTTCTAGAAGCTGTATGCAAATTAAATTCCATGTATTCATGTCAATGTTTTCCAATTTAGACAAAGTTTTAAGGTATGGCATTACGATTAATGCTTCATTATCTATTTCCAGTATTTCCGATGGCTTGATGGTGTGGTAAAATAACATAGAATATATAGCTCATCAGATGATTTTAGTACACATTTCACAAACACTATGCTGCCATCTTTTAATACAAGATCCAAGTCCAATGTGCCTTTGCATAATATTATGGGACCTGCTGTAAACAGTGTAATAATTATGTCAGAAAATTTCCTGATTGTAATAAAGGAGCTGCAACTTAGGATTTCATGATTGATTGCAGAATTTAGACCATAAGAGATTGGAGATGTCACGAATTAATTAAATCAAAAATAAATTAGTTTTTTTAAGGAAAAAGAAAATAATAATAAAAATCACATTTTGAAATGTAACTAGACTGTAAAGAAGTGACGGAGAGAGATTCGGTATGGTATTACACATGGTATGGTATGGCACATATTTTTCCGTACCAAGTAGGCTTCGAATGAAAAAAAATTTAGAGTGATTTGATTTGATTCAATTCAAAACCTCAAAATTTTTTTTAATGTCATATTAAATTTAGAGAACCACGTTTCTATTCGTAATATAGTAATAGTCAATCTTAATATTGATTTATTTGTTTTATTATTATCCATTTTATTTGGATTGTTCGTCTTATTTCTTTAACAAAATAATATAAATTTACAATAATTATAATCTATACTACTACTACTACTATGGTTGCTAGTACTATGACTTAAGAAAAGTGACATCTATTATTATCACTATATACAAGGATTAAGGAAAAATAGATAAAAAAATTCTTTAGCAATGTGCATATTTTATTAATAATTCGAATCATTGGTTTTATTCCAATAACCCTATTTGAATAGAAATTATTCAGAAATGTCGTTTTTCAATCCATCGTTTTGCCCAATTTCCTGTTGAATGGCACAATGGTTAAGAATAATAATAATTCTGGGTTCTCACAAAACATATTACAATATTCTTGAATAATGAAATTTTAATCCATTCTTTTTAAGTGATTTTGTAAATAGTCAATTAATTCCATCAAACTAATTCATTATATATGTCACCAATCTTTAAATTTTTGTCCTCGTTATTTACCTTCAATCAATTCATACACATCTTATAACCTACCATTCAAAATTTCACATTTTATATTCATATTTTAAGGTTCAAACTATTATAAATAATTATTTAATACCATCTGTTAAGTTGGTTTTATATTTAATAATTATCAATTTTTAAGCAGAGATCGAAGTTTGAAGAATTAAGGCACAGATATATATATATTAAATTAGGGATTTTTACCTTAACAAAAAGCAGGAATTTTTCAAATTAATTAGCAACTTTTGAATTCTTTACAGTCCAATAGAATCAAGATTAAGAAAACAATAATTAAAACATATCCAAGATTACAATTGGAATCATGTAACAATTGAAACAATAAAAAATAGCCGGAAAAACACTAAATCAATAATCAAAGTTTAACAGAAGTAATGAAATAAATAAATAGTTTGATTAATCTACTTCCCTTTACAAATAGTCTGGATGTCAGTAAATTTATTGCTAACCTGAACAGGTGATCAATCAATAGATTAAAAAAGTGAAATTTCTTGCCCACTTATTAATTTAAATAAAAATAATATTTTTTAGTACTTACGGATATTTGCTTTTACGGGTATTAACATCTATCTCGGTTTAGTGTTAACGGATAAATTTTCTAGAACAAGCATGTTCGTAAATTGAGACTCGCTGTGTACTTATCTCGTCTATGATATTAATATTATGCAAATTTGATATATTAATTCGTCAAAAACGAAGTATCAATCTTCCAATTTGAAAGGTATGAAATTAATTTACTTGAATGAGAAGAGGCGATTGTGGTAATTAAGACTAACATATTCAAAAGAATGCGGTTACAGAGTTTCCGTTAATTTCGGTGCAGTGGTGGTAGAGTTAGATTAAAAAGATCTCACAGAAACAACCTATTTCGATCCTTTGAGGTTTCCCTGGTCAAATTTTTAATCTTCAATTTTTTCAAGAGTATATCCATTGCCTATAAGACTTTTACAGAAACCATATTCTCTCTTATTTCTAAATGTCCCGATCACAAATAATTATAATGATATCTTCAAACATACAATCTGCCTTTTGCTCAAAGGAACCGGCAGACTTGCGCCTTTCTCGATGTGACACAATAGAAGATAAAACAATTTATTCTCTAAAAAAAAAAAAAGGTTGAATGAAGGCTGATTGATCAATACTCACGTTTATACACGAGGCAATCTTGAAAATTAATATGCAGAAATTGATAACAAACATGGTGTACCAATCTCTTGCATAATGGATGTATGTACCTGGAAATACGGATGAATAAAGGAGAACTTATTTAATGGTTGATAAGGAAAATTTGCTCGTTGTGAGTGGTCGAACGAACTTTTCATTTATGCTTTCTATTTAGCGTCTACATACACAAATAAATTTGAATAGTCGTGTAACCCGGTTTTTTCATAATATTTTCATGTTGAATGAAAAAGAATAGTCATTATAAATTCTCTTTTATTTACAACCTCAGTTAGTAAAAAAAAAATTCATAAACATTAAGCGTCAATACTTTCTTTTTAAACAAGAAAAACCAAAAGGTTTATATGACTAAGAAAAAAGGTCCTTCCTTTATTTTCCCTCTTCGCGTTTTCTTTTTCATATAACATATATATATATATATATACAATGATTTTAAGTTTAATTGTTTCCATAATTTCCACATTTATTATATTCACAACATTAGTATATTTTAAAATTTCAAATAACATTAATAAAATTAATAAAACTAATGGATTAAAAGGAAAAACTATTTTATTACTAATTTCTCATCCTGATGACGAATGTATGTTTTTTGGTCCAACTTTATTAAATTTAAAATCTAAAAACGATATAATTGTTTTATGTTTGTCTAATGGTAAATATTATGAATATAAACTTTATTTATTTATTTATTTATTTATTTATTTATTTATTTTATTTATTTATTTATTTTGATCATTAGGAAATCAAGCAGGAATAGGTGAAATTAGAACGAAAGAATTAGAAGAAAGTTGTTTAACACTTGGAATCAAAAGAACTCATGTCAATATAGAAAATAATCAGTAAATATTATTATTTACATTTCATCATTGTAATTATTACCTTAATTTTAATATTATTATAATACAATAATTAGATTATTACAAGATAATCCAAAAAAATATTGGGATCCAGTATTAATTTCAACCATAATTAAAGATTATGTTATTAAAAACGGAGTAGAAGTGGTAAGTAAAAATATTGAATTAATTAGAAATTAGAGGATTAATTATTCACATGATTTAATGAATAATATCTTTTAGATAATAACTTTTGATAATAAAGGAATTTCTGGTCATTTAAACCATATTTCAGCGTATAATGGTGCAAAGTAAGATTATATATACATTTATTTATTATTCCAATTGAAAAATACTAATAATAATTCAATTTTTTAGACATTTCATCAAAACATTACCTGAAACAAATGTTATTTTATATAAACTTGTAACAGTTAATATAATAAGAAAATATATTTCAATATTTGATTCATATTTAACATATTTAAATTTCATATTATCATCTGATAATTCTTCCGCTTCATCTTCTTCTTATTCATCATCATCTTCTCCGCCTGTTTTATCAAGGGATATCAACGGAGAACTAAATTCAACTTTTTTAAATAATTTTATTTTATTTATCTCATCGCAAAAACAATTTTATCAAACAAGAGAGGCGATGGAATGTCATAAGAGCCAATTGGTTTGGTTTAGATATTTGTATTTAAGATTTTCAAGGTATATGTTTATTAATGAATTAGAAAGAGTAAAGTAATTTAATTTTAATTAATAACAATAATAACAGTGATAACAATAATAAAAGTAATAACAATAATAATAATAATTGCAACGATAAAAAGTATTAAATAAATTTTATTTTTACAAAGGTTTTTTCAATAGATTAATTATTTTGAAGGCAAAAAAAAACCAACAGGTGAAACATACAAAATGATCCATTGATAATGGATTATAAAACCATTTATTTATTTTTAAATAATGAAATACACTCCAATCGCAAAAAAAAATAGTTACCGGATAAAATATGAAAATTAATTTAATTCCAGTAATATAGTAGTGTGAGTTCAAATCCCAGTACATTAATGTATATTGGTTGCAGATTATGATTTGTGATCATTGTCAGTTCTGCTCTAATAAAAGTTCACATGAAGACAAGGTTGCTTGCCAAAACTTTGTCGAAATTCTAATAAGCAATTAGTGCGTGTACCTTGCCAAAATCCCCAAATGCAGAACTAGATTTTAAGAGAATTTAGTGTTAGAGAAGAAATTACCACAAATCAGTTTTATAGAATAGAACTTTTAGCTGTTCATTCACCATAGAGCAACATCATAATGATAGATCAATGATGAATCGTCACTTAGTCAACATGAAAGAATTAAATCTTAAAAATTTAAATGATTATTTAATTCGTGATCCATTATCAGTGAAGGAAAGGATTTACATAGTAAAATTCTGGGATAAGCATCATAGTAAAATCAATTAGTGTCCATAATCTGGAACCACTGCAGAAATAACACAATATTTTACATGTAGGTTTGTTTATACTTTAAAATTTACTAAATAATCGCCAATAAAATGCTTTAATTCCCTAAATGCACACTCTCACCCATTCCCAAGGGAGGTGCACTTGAGAGGTTGACTGTGTCTTTCTGGACTTTATGGTATTAGTAATTAATAATAACCATCATTTTATGGCATAGAATTTCTCTGTGATTAATAATGATCAACAAGTTTATTTGGCCAGATTTTTATATTGACAGCCCCCCTATTGTTATAATAACTTAATTTCTATTGAAATAAATAAATAACTAAATACTGAGAAAAAATCAAAAATCTTCATAATAAATAAATCACTTTATATTCAAACTATTTAACTTTTCCATTAAAAGCTGAAAATGTTTATCTGTACTTTCTTCAATTTGTTTAATTTTCTTTTCAATCTCTTCAAGTTTATCTGTACTTTCTTCAACTTGTTTAATTCTCTTTTCAATCTCTTCAAGTTTACCTTCAAGTTTATTATCTATTTTTCCTGGTTTGGGAACATCAGCAAGCCGTCTAAGCTTCTCAGAAATAAATGATGGATCTTCTGAATTATTTTTATTTCTGTCGATTTCTTTAATTCTTTTTTGAATATCTTTAATTGGTACCGAGTAGCAGCTAATGTAGCAGAAAACAAACAAATTTTTTGAATTATTTTCAATCAGATTTAAAGATTATTAATATTAATATTTACATAATATCTGGAAACCAAGTTTTCCATCGACGTTGATTAGGATATAAATAAAATAATTCTATCTCAGTGATAATCTTTGCTCTTACAGCTAAGAATGCATCATGTGTATCATGTTCTTCAATGGCATTACTAAGCAAACCAATAAATAAGTTCATCATATATACAACTACTACGAATGAAAATATTATTACTAAAATTGCTAGATAAGGATCTTCTTGTAATGACCAAGCTCCAATTACACTATTGTCACCTTTAATAAAATAATTGTTATTTTTATATATATATATATTTTTTTTTTAAAAATTACATTATCAATTATTTACCTGTGAGAAAATTATACATTGCCAGGATTGAAGTATGGAACCGGGTAAACATGTTGACTTTATCATCAGGTTTCTTAACAAAATATGAAGTTGAATCAAGTGTATTGTCCGAAAATAAAATATAGTACTGATCAACAAGATTCCAAGGATTATTGTGATCATTGTTGAAAATAGGTTGATCTAATGAGTATTCTTCTGCTGGTTGTAATAACACAAATAGTGCATGTGAAAAGCTTAAAATAATTAAAAATAATATCAACAAAAATGAAAAGACTTTTTCAGCAACTCCTAGAATTATCGCATAATAAACTCCAAAATATTCAAATGCTCTAAAGAATAACATGAATCTCAAATCTAATAATAAATTAGTCAATGAAATCATCCATCTTTCTGGTGGTGTGCCATTACGTAACCAATAGGTTGAAGCAATTATTGGTAGCAGATAAGCTCCAACATCTAACATCAATAAATATTATTATTATATACTATTACTGATAAGGGTTATTTTAAGTAAAACTACATCTTACCAAAATAATTCCAATAATCTTTGATATATTTTTTCTTTCTCCAAATAAATTGTCTGAATTCAATACTCAAAAAAAATGAACCAAGAGCAATACAAACAGTTAATGAATTATTCCTAACTCTATCAGAAAAGGTGTCTGGACTAGTAGTAACAACAGCAAAACTTAATAAAAATATTGTATAAATTAACCAGATTCTTGTATGATAAAATCTTCCAAATTTATTCCATTTGAAATCAGAGATAAATTTCCCAATCCAATGTTTATAAATTTCCATATCATCCAAATCATTAATAAAATTTGATGTTGGTTTATATAATATTTCATATCCAAAGTTATACTCACTTTCATAATTTATAAATCCAACAAAGGGTATTAAAAGCAAAACTCCAGGCTTTTAGAAAATAATTAAAATAAATAAATATGTGTAGATGTATAAAATAAATGTAATTTAAACCTTTAATATATTACCTTTTTTGATTTACTTGATTTAAATTTATTGGAGTTAATATTCAGAACACTTAAAACACATTTTGAATATTTTATGATTTTTAAATAAGAATTTTTTACATAATAATTGTTGAAAGCATAATAGAAATGCCAAAAACTATAATTTTTCAAAATTGACACTCTATTGTTTTTTGGTTGATAAAATGATTCAAAGAAATCAATGTTATTGTTGAATTGAAGTAGCATTGTTGAATTTTTTATGAAAAATTTTGAGATGGAGTCTTGAGGAGTTTTTTTTAATTTTGAGAATTTAGAAATGATGATTTTTAATAGACTCATATTTGATTCAGGATCATCCAAAAACCAATAAAGACATGAATCTACCACAATCTCTATAACGAGATCATTATCTTCTTCTAATGCTTTGTATAAAAGTTCTTTTCCATATTTAGTGAAATAATAAAAATCTTTAGTCAAGTATAGAATCATCTCTTTATAAGGTTGTCTAGAAACTTGATTTTTGCCAAAGTAAACTGTATTGTTGATTCCAGTAAAAATATCTTTAACATCAAATAAAAAATCATTGTTAATTAAACTTAAACCACCTTTATCTTTTAAATCATCCCACTTATTATCACATTTTCTGATATATTTAACATATAATTTAAACTTTTCATTAACAGCAAAAATTTGTATATACTTCATTGTTATTAATATCAAATCATTACAAAATAAAGCACAATGAACGATTTTCTCATCACCAGATATACAATAATTTTCACTAGTATATATTTTTTCCTCCTTTTTTTCTTTTTGGTCATTATTGTTATTGTTTTTGTCACTGGTGGTTTTTTTGTTTATTTTTTTTTGAGCTATTATATTTATATGTTGAAAGTAATTATCATAATCTATGTTCCATTTAATCTTATTTCCTTCTAAAATTATAAGAGTACTTTCTTTAGGTTTATTGTTTGGAGTGAGAGGAGGTTCTAATTTTTTAACCTTGTTTTCAATTATTTTATCAATTATTTTATTATCTGTTTTATCTACTTCTAGAGATGAAAGGTATGTAAGGTGTATTTCATTATATAGTTGACGTAATTTCATGCATGAATAATCAATTTCCCAATCTTTCAATTTAAGCATCATTTTTTTAATTTCTTTTGATACCTCTTCATTAATGAGCTCTTGAATATACATAAATTCATCAATAACCATAATAATATATTTATTATGAATAATTGGTCCAAATTCAACATCTTTGTTTTCCATGTCTTCCATTACAGATTTATTTAAATACCCAGTAATGTCTATTTCAGTTTTGAGATTATAAGGATCCATCAATATATAATTATAGTTATTTTGGTCTTTATCAAAATATATAACTAACAAAAACTCCAAGTATTTATTTGGCATGTTTTCTTCTGTTTCTTTTTCTTTTTCTAAGATTCCTTCTTCCAAACTTCCTTTTTCTAACATGTCAAATTTATCTTCATGATTACTTACATAAATAAAGCCTATCTGCTTAATATTAACATTTTTTTTAAATTCATCTATAAAATGGATTATATTTACAATAAAATGCATGTTAAATAATTATCATCATAATGATAAAAGAATTATATTAATGTTAATTATGTATATAATAGACACTTACATGATGAAACTGTTATATTCTGTTCTAATGAATAGATTACTATTTTTGAATTTTGATGATAATCAACTACAATTAAAGGTTTATTTGCATACTTTTTATTATTGAAAACAACATAATCATTAGATTTTATATAATAGTTTTGTTTGTATTTTAAATTATCATGATACCATTGTGATATTAATGAATTATCAGCAGTAATTAGAAAATAATCGGAATAATAATAAATTCTTGGAATATGATCACTATGAATGTTATATGTTGAGTCATGAATTATTGTATTTTCTGATATTTTCATAAGATATAATTTATAAAGCTCTTGAAGATTTTCACTTCTTTTTATGATCATTAAATCATTATCTTTTTTGAAAATAATCTTGACGAATTTATAAATTCCTTTGACAGAAGTGTATTCACTAAATTTATTACCAGAAATTACTTTCCCACCTTCTTCTAAGTTACGAATTTCTAAAATACATATATAGTATTTTAGAATAAGAATTTTTAAAACAGAAGGAAATTAAGGTAACTATAATTACTTACCACAATGTTCAGTATTAGTATTTTTTATAATTATATAACAATTATCAGACACACCATCTATGCAAATTTTGGCAGAATCATCAACATATTCATATTTTCCATAACGACACAATTGTAATCTATTATCGTGAGTATTAACCACCACTTTCCATCCATTAATGATTTTATCTTGTCTACTATGAGTCACAATATATTTAGAACTAGGACTATACTTTATCTCATCAATATAACTAGTATGGTCAAATTTTTCATCAAAGGGAGCTTCTATAACAATCTCTTGCATTTTTATCTTTTTTAAAAAAATAAATAAATAAATAAATAGTTATATATATATATATATATATATATATATATATTAACAATTCCACATTTATCCATTATCAACAACATATTTATTATTGTTGTATCTTTCAAACAAAGTTTTTCGTATACAAAAATAATAACAACAATGGATAGTTTTTTCCTTCTATTCAGTTAAAGTTCAGCCGTTTAACAATGAAATTTTTGCATGACGCAGAATGTTTGCAGAAATCATGTTAAAACGGAAAGTACTAATAATAAGTGTAACATAATAATCAAATTTTTTAATTTTTGTGACCATATATTTGTTTGTTGCCTTTTTTTCGGTAATACAGAAAACATGTCGGTAGTATGGTTCAGGACACCTATATAGTCCCTACAACTTTCTGCGCCACAGCGACAGATTTGGGAAAAAATTCACAATCAAAAATGCAATAAAATTTTTACAGTCACGTGTTTTAAAAATAGGTTTGTCACGTTGCATTCTCTTTATTAGTATCACGTGATAAGAGATCTGCAATACAGATTTCAAAAATTTCAATTCTTCCAATTCACTCATTTTTAATATAAAAAATTTGCGTGTAACACGTCACTTTGGGGGATTAACATAGTAAATTTGTTAAAATTGTGCA